ATCAAAACTTTTGAATTAAGCTAAAAATCATGTGATATAAGTTTACATCAGCATAAAATCAAAGCAGAAAACTTGCACAGAACTTTCAAGTTCCAATTAATGAGATGATTCGGTAAGGCCAAAAATATTTCACAAATCGTTCGTGGACAGCCTTGGTCCCCGCCTCTTCACAGTTTTCACGTGCCACCGATGCCGAAGGCGGTGGTACCCACCACCAGGACCACATACGACACGTGTTTATGTATTCTACTAATCAAATTAATAATGTTATGAATATAATATTATATAAAATTATAATTTTATATAATATTTATTAAAATATAATATAATATTAAATAAATATATATAATATTATTTATAAATGTCTAAATAAATAAAATTAATTATATAATAATATATTATATTATACATTTATAATATTACATTACATTAAAATTATAACATTTTTTTATAATGAAATAGGTCTAGTACGAACTATTAGTTTGTACCAATGTTTTTAAATCCGAATTGAAAGTCAAATCGTTTTGATCTTTGGTTTACGGTTTCACTGATTTAATTGGTTTAACTAATAAAATCGTCAAGTTAATCAAACTACCATAAATATATTATTTTGCAATATATTTCATAAGGTGTTAGTTGAGTGCAGTGGTAGGTGATTGATTTGACATTTGAAAGATCACAAGTTCAAGCCTTCAGGATAACAAATTTTAATATAATTGTGGTTTTAAAGATAGGACAACAAATTTTAATATAATTATGGTTTTAAAGATAGAATAAATATATTGTAAAGTAAAAAAATAGCACACAAACGGTTGTGTCTCAAGTGGTATAGTCTTTGTTTGATATCATGAAAAATAGATTTTCGATTAATAACTTAGTTAAAAGTTTTGAGAATTCTATTAAATAAATAAAATTTCAAACACTTAATAACATAAGGATTGTATTGTTTTAGTGGTAAAGAGTCGAAATTAAGGTATTGAAGTTGTGAGTTCAAGTCCCACAACAAATTTTTAAGGATTTTATGCTTAAGTATTGAACCATCCGGTCGAATGGTTTATCGGTTTGAATGATTTCAATGGTTTTTATTGGTTTGAATGGTTTACAATTTAAATGGTTTAAAAAATACAACCGAACCACTTATGCCACCAGGTACCGGTTCAACCTGTCCGACCGGCCGGTCCGATCCGGTTTTCAAAACATTGGTCTGTACTTCGCAGGATATTCCAAATCTTCTCATTGTCACCTTAACGTTGTCCAGATCAAATCTAGACCGTGAATTCCCCACGAGTCACCGTCGAAGAGAGATCAGCCGTTAATCAGTTGTGGGGTCGGGTCACAGTTGGCCCGTGCGACGGAGTTTTGTGCCCTGCTCATATGTAACGCTTTTCAGCCTTGTTTTCTCTCTTTTTATTGGCAAACCGCCGAGTTAAAGCCGCCAAACTTATTTCATATTATTAATTAAACTCCCAAATTTTTATTAAAGTAGATAAGTTCTTAATTTTTATTAAAATAAATAAATTCTTAAACTTGGTCACCTGTTTTAATTTAACACTCTTCTTAACACTACACCTTGTGTGGTAAAATATTAACATATCATTACTTATATGATAACAAATTATCTTTAAATGGGATTTTTGCTGCTCATTTGGTCCACCTAGATGGAAAAAGTATTAAAAAGGAAAGGAAGTCAACGCCTTAAGGTTCAATATTTTTATTTGATAAAAAAAAATTTCAACTATTATTTACTCTTTTTGTTCTATAATAATAGACATTTATTTTATTTTTTTTTCTAACTAAAGATTTAGGAACAATTTTTATTTTCACTAATATTATCCCTAAAAGGAAATAAAAATAATAAAACTTAAATAGGATAGATAATTAAAGTAAAGAGATAATGATAAAGTTAAAGTAGTTTAATATGAGAGTTTATTTTTTCATGGCATTAGTTTTTCTATATCTAAAATTTTTATTTAGTACTTTCTCCCATCAAATTTAGTAGTTTTATTTTGATTTTTTGATTTTTCAAGATATAAATTTTAGATGAAAACAAAACATGTTATATAATCCCTTCATTCTAGAATAATAAACATTATTTTATTTGAAATTTATCTTAGAATAATAGTTATTTTTTCATATTTTAAGGAAAAAAATATTTTTCCTACTTTAATCTTATAATTATCTCTTTATTTCAATTATTCATCTTAATTTAAGTCTCATTATTTTTATTTTTTGGGGGTAATATGGGCAAAAAAAATTATTCCCAAATCTTTAACTAAAAATAAAATTTTTAAAAAATCTATTATTTTAAGATAAAAGTGAGTAAAAAATAATTGAATTTTTTTATCAAATAAAAAGATTGAACTTGAAGGCACTGACTTTCTTTCTTTCCTTTTTTTAATACTTTTTCCACCTAGGTGGAGCAAATGGGTGGCAAAAATCCAGCCTAGTTGGTTGTCACCTAGGTAATGATATGTTAATATGTTGCTAAACAAATAAGGTATAAATGAGAGTTAAGTGTATAGTTAAAAAGAAAGGTTAAATTGTTTAAATATCCAAGTTTGGAGTTTATTTGTTTTAAAAAAAATTTAAGAATTTAATCAAGAATCTCAAATAAATTTAAGAGTTTAACACAAGGTTATGCCCTTTTTCTTCTTTTATCAAAAAAATTATTTGTAATCAAAACGGTACCATATTATATAATTTTAATTTTTTTCATATGAATTTTTCAGTATCTAGTAATTGTATTAGATCCCAATTAATTTAAAATTGAGTTGTGTTTAAACACATAAGGAAAGTTCTTTTTACATTTATTTCACTATTTACAATATTTGAATTTGAGATCTTATTTAAAAAGAATCAAACTCTTTTCATTTGAATCAATGTGTCACTAGTATTAAATAATTTAAATTATTAAATTAAATTAAATTAATCCTATAATATTAGAATTATTTTCGTTTATTTTATGATCAAATATAATCTAAACAGTAAAAATAGAGACTCTTCGTTTAATTTCCCATCCTCCTTCTATTCTTTTGATGATAAAAATTAAAATGAAAAGTCAAAGATGCGGGTCGGGTCTCTCATGATCAAGTGGGCCCACTTGTGGGGGCCTTCATCAATTTGTGATAAAGTGGGATTCGCATAAAGGAGAGAAATGTTATAATTATAATATTATATAAAATTATAAATTTGTTATTATAATATATTATTAAATAAAAAATAAATATAATATATATAAAGTGTAAATTTTTAAATAAAAATTAATTTTATAATAATATATTATAATTATAAATTTGTAATATAATGTTGATAATATTATTATATTATTATTTATTTAATAATTATCATTTTAATTGCAGTTGATGAGTAGGGTGTGTTTAAATGAGAAATTCTCATATCATATATATCTTGCTTAAATTAATATAAATTGGATTACTTTATTTATTATAATTCATTTTAAATTAGATATTCAAATTGTGTTTTGACACATGCATTTTTTTAATTTAAGGTTAAAGTATTTTTAAGTTAAAAAGGTGATTTCAATAAATTCTTTCCTAAGAACTTTTTAACTTCGGGATGATGATGGAAAAACGGTCATTTTTTAATAGAAAAATGTTCATTAAAACTACATGATTTTGAATTAAGGATGAGGAGTAACTACTGAAACTATTATGGTTTTGAGCAATGTTTTTGGATTTGGCCTGATGGTTGATCTGTTTTGGCCATTAAGTCTGGTTGAATCGGTTGAACCGGTTCACTCAATTGATCCAATCGGTTGACTAAAAACACTTCTTTTTTTTTTTTTTACATTTTTATTAGATTTTACTCATATATTTTTTAAATCTTACGCAAAGTGTCAAATTTGTTTTGTTGGTTGAAGGAGAGTATGGTGACTAGCAAAGGAGAGAGCAGATGCAAATATGTGTAGTCGGTGGAAGAAGAAGGGGGATGTGACCGGCGAAGGTTGAGAAAGCTGAGATCGGGAAGAGGGATGTGATCGATGGAAGAAGAAGAGGGATGTGACTAGCAAAGGCTGAGAAGGCTGAGATAGGGAAGATGGATGTGACCGGTGGAAGAAGAAGAGGGATGTGACTAGTGAAGGTTGAGATCGGGAAGAGGGATGTGACTGGCGGCGAAGGCTGAGATCGGAAAAGGGATGTGATCAGTGGTGAAGGTTGAGGTTAATGATGACTTCGCTTGATCTCTTTTGCTTCTTCTGATTTCTGGGTTTGCTTTTGCAGTGAGATGAGAAAGAAAACCTGATCTGTATGAGTTTTTTTTTTTTTAATTGATCCGATATTTTAATTTGTAATTTAAGTGTATGGTATTTATTGTAATAACATACAAAAAAATGGGATAAAATGGATAAATTATATTGAAAATAAAAAAATAATTTAATTAACATTAAAACTAATAAAAATTGCAATTGATTTTCAACTCGGTGGGTGAAGCAGTTTCAACGGGTTTAGCGGGCTGGCAGGTTTTAACGAACCAAAATGGGCCAAAGTCATCAACTGGTCCATTTTGAAGCCCAAATCTGATTCAACCGATTCAATTGGTCCAGCTGAACCAAATCCAAAAACACTGGTTTTGAGTTTAGAGATAACATTTTCTTTTCAGTAGTGACTGATAAAAAAAAAACCTTTCACTATTTTTATAACATTATTCTCATAAAATAAAGTGTACAAAATACAAATAAAATGAGAGAAAAAAAAATAACATATCAATAATCCCTTTTAATATACGTTGCAACATGGATCAGAACTTTAAAATATAAAAGCTAAAAGATAGACCTTTCACAATCAAAATTAAGAAAATTCATTAAAAAGATACAATATTTTAACTTTTTTAACAAAAATAATAATGATGGGAGCCAACACCTTACTTATTTTATCGCATTTGACCATGATATATAACATCGATAATGATATGTTATATATATTCTAAATTTATAATTGTAACACCTAATTATATATAGTAATTTTATTTATTTATTTTTGTTAATTCTTAATTTTTTATTTCCTTAAGGTAGTCATGGCGAGAGAGGATATATTCCTTTCCGGCATGTTCTTCATTTATCAAGCGTGTGGTAGCATAGCAACGCAACCATGGCATCAAAGCTGCTTTTCTCCTTAGTGTCAAACACGTGGACAAATGACATCATTCTCGAGATCTCTCCTGGCAGCCTATACCCTGCAAAGAAGTAAAAGTGAGTCCCAATATGGGCAGATAGAAACGTCGGCTTGGAGGCCAATTGGCATCTGATGTGGAAACTGGTGAAGATAACATGTCAAGGTGCGATCCATCAACCTCCGTCCATATCTTTCCATCATAAAACTCTATATATATGACCCTTCCAAGCATTCAAGCAATCTCCAGAGATATAAAGCTTGCATCCAACGGCCACGATTTGATTAGGTGGCACATCTAGCTGCCACATTCCCTGCATAAGATCCCACTTGGCATTCTCCGAATCATACACCTCAGCAGAACATCTAGCCATTGTGGAACATGGAACCTCATCCAAATCGGCAGTCTCCGCAAAACCCTTATTACCACGTGGATTTTCCCTTGCCACGTCACCCCAACACATTTGTACCTTAAGATGCTCATATTAGGTAATAACCTCCACTTGTCCAACACCGAGTCATATAGCTCAGCAGACGAAACGCCGCGTCCTCCCGATGACATGGTCTGTCCCCCTGCCATGTAGATCTTCCCATCACACACCATACAAACAAAAGGGAAATATTATTGGGGCAACTTTTTTATCTTATCTCTTTGTACAACTTGACATATTATTAAAATGATTGATTTTTTTAATTTATATAAAACTTATAATATTGAATGTATCCACTCATTTAATGATATGTAAAAATTGTATAAAAAATTAAAACAAAAAAATTGTCCCTAGTGCCACTCCAAGCAAAATCAAACTGTGGGACACGTAACAGTGCACACTGGGACCAAATGTTCTTTGGTAGGTCATACCGCAAGACCGATGAGAGGACGACCTCAAGATCGACCTCACCGATCTCGTCGTGGCAAAAGACCTTGTGGCAGAGCTTGCCGCCGATGATGTAAAGAGAATCGCCGATGGAGACCGTAGAGAAGCCCTTTTGGACATTGTTATCTTTGAGTCCAGGGATTCTGGTGAAGTGGTGCCATATGTTGGTCCAGGGGTTGTAACATTCTATCCAATTGGACATGTTTGGCTTGGTCAATGCATCTTTGGAACAAAAAGATGCGAAAATGCGGTAATTGAGGTAGGGATTTTAAGGCCGTTGACGGGGAAGGGAACCCATATGGACTAATTTGTGAGGGAAATATCGGAATTTTTTCATGTGGAGAAAAGAAGTAGATATAGGGGAAAGTTGACGGTAGACACTAGGAGATATTTTCTTAGCATAGACAATTTGCTAGGCAAGAAAAATAATTATGGAGCTAAAGCCTAAGTTTTTTCTTGTTTGGTGTTTTGGGAAATTAAAGATGCCCTGATTCCGACGGAATCATTCCTTTCCCATTAAGATTTCTTAGGTTGTTGATAATGTTTTCATAAAAATATTTTTCAAATCACCTACATGAAAAAAAGTGTAAGAATGCTTGTAAAATTATTTTTGATTCATTAAAAATATTTAATTAATCTCATATTTATTCTTGCATTTTTTTTCCTTGCAGGTTGATTTAAGATTTTGCTACTCTTCTTATCATTTTTCTTGTGATTTCCTCAAAAAAACATTAGAATGAGAATCCGAAGTGTAATCGCCGAGATATGAATAGCCCATGGATGAACAAAACAGAAAAATGAATAGCCCATGGGCCTTTTTCTGCTATTAATTAAATCCATGAAACTTGGAAACGCGTGTCTCTGGATCATCAATACCAGTCAACATGGTAAATTGGCAAGGTCAAAACTTTATTTTGGTCCCTCAACTTTTAAATAGAATTTTTTTTAGTTCTTAAATTAAGAAAATTTTCTTTTTAAATCATAAAGTCTAATTTTTCATATTTTTTAGTCCCCTGTTAAGTTTTTGATAACATAGCATGTTAATTAAAATAGTTGTCTCATTTCTAATTTTATAAAATAATGTGGAAAATCCATGCGACACAAGATGATGATGTGGTATTTTATTTGACCATATTAAATTGACATGAAATTTTAAGGACCCGTTCAATTAAATCAATTAAAATATAAAATATTAATTTTGCTATTGAGCTGCTTGTCTGAAGGGTGACTAGGGAAGTGAGGACTGAAGAGCTCGTATCTGGTATCCTGGTTTTGTTCAGCATGTAAGGTGATTGCCATGTTATAAAAAAAAGATGGGTTCATAATTGTCCAGTCAGCAAGAAATTAACAGATTGCAAAGTAAGTAACGGAAAGTTAACGGTGACTAAAGGGAATTGACCGAATTGAGAGAAAAGATGATATTATTAGTTAAATTTAGATTATTATATTTTAATTAAATATAGAAAGTCTAATTTTATTTAACTTAAAAATAGAAGTGTTAATTTATTTTATTAAATAATACAAGACTTTATTTCAATATTCAACGAAAGTAGAGTGGTGAATTCACCCTTTTTTTGCAAACAAATTTAAAGCTTTGTGTCATAAAATTTTAGAAAAACAAAGAAAGAAAGAGAAAGAAAATTCCTAAAAATATGGATAAAAAATGCTTAGTTTTCTTCTACTTATTTAAAGAACATGTTCCATTTATTTTATAAATCTATGAGAGTAAAATAATCCATGCATGCACCAAACAAATAAAATAGGAAACAAACAATAAGAAAAATAAGAAAGAATTAGAGGGCCATAGTGAGGTAATGTAAAGAAATGCGATCTTTCATGTAAAAAAAAAAAAGAAAAAAAGAAATGTGATCTTTCAATTCTTTTCTTCACATCCACATAGGGGTATTCATATTTGATTCAATCCGATTGATCCAATTTAAACTGATCCAATCCAATTAAAAATCGATCCAAACCAATATAAAATTGAGTTTGTTTGAATTATAAAATTTTAAAACTAATATAATTGGTTTGGTTTGTGGGTTTACTTTCAAACCAACTAAACTGTTCAATTGCAAAATAAAATCTAATTACAAGATAACTTAATTAAATAATATAATATATTTTTTGTAGTATTTTAAAATTTCTTTTTCTTATTTTATAAGATAATAACTCCATTAAC